CGCCCAGGTACTACTCATTGATCAACCTGCTTTCCCGGCTGGCGCACACGCCCCTGTGGGCCATCGAAATCGAGCTCACCGCAGTCGGCTTCGGGGTGGGCGCCACCTGGCCGCGTGCGCGTGTTGTGTAAGCGCGTGCGCGTGAATGCATGTGTATGTGCGTTCTTGTGACTTCGTATCATCCTCTGTGTTGCAAAGGGGTGCTGCGGGAGTCCAGGAGGCACGGGGGATTACGGGTTTGCAGCTGGCGGTTGCAAGGGGTTTCATGACGATTGGCACGAGGGCGCTGGCAGGGGCCCAGCGGATGTTTTCAAGACCTGCCCACCGCTCAAGTTGCCGTTGCCCCCCCTCCAGCGCCTTGTTGCGCAGCCCAGGCCGTCGCCCCCACCCCAAGCACACCCCTGAAAGATGCAGCCAGCTGGCTCCATGCTTTCCACCACAGACGCCACTCTCTCCGTCCCAGTCGACGTCTATCTCCCGACCCGAGCCCCTTGCGACGCCCCAACCCCGCAGGCCCTGCTCTTCCCCAACCTGCTGCTGCTGTTCTACCCTGTCAGCCGCGGCAGCATCCTGCTGCAGGCCACGGGGCTGTCCTACCCGGCAGCCATTCGATACCACAGGTGGCTCGGCCACTGGGTCATGGTGGGTGCCCTGATGGGCCTGGTGGATATTTGGGTTGGATGTTTTGGTGCTTCCACCCCCTCACCGTGCCCCTTGTTTTCGTGGTGGCCGGGCACCCCGGAGGACCTCGTATTTTTGTTACATTGTGGATCCGCCTCGAGATGCCACTGGGTCATGGCGCGTGCTCTTGAGGGTTTGGGCCGCTTGCTCCCTTCGTCGGTCTTCCCCCCCGCCCGCTCGCGCGCCCCGCCGGCAGTCAGAAGGGTCTCCCTAGCTGCTGGCTGCCCCACGGCCAACCTTGGACACGCAATGCACCCTCGGACCGCCCCGCAGGTGCTGGTCACCGCCCACAGCCTCGGCTTCTGGGGCGTGTGGCTGGCCCTCGGCACATGGAAGGACGAGGCTCTGTCGTTTGGGGCCAGGTGCTTGGAGGTTATTGCCACGCCAAAATTGGCGTTGGCAGCTGAAACCTCTGAGATATAATTTATATAGAGGGGAAGGAGGGTGCATATTGCAATGAGACTGGATCAGGCCTGTGCTGGCCGAATTCTTGGGGACGAGGTCAAGCCTGCTGTCATGCTGACGTCATGTTTGTGCACCAAGGCCCGCGCTGGCGCCGCTAATCCTCTGCCTCTCCCCTCTTTGATCCTCCCGGCCCTGCCGAGCCGCTCCCCCCTCCAGCGCTTATTTTCTCCTCGCTCCCAACTCCTCTTGCTCCTCTCGCTCCTCACGCCCCTCCGTGCCTTCCCCCCCACTTTCCGCGCGCACGTGACACACCCCAACCTCGTGCCCGTTTGTTGGAAGCCTGGACCACTGCTGTCCACCCCGATGCACCAACCCTTTGCCGCGCAACTCCCAGGGTCCACCCTGTCCTATCGTCGCAAAACCCCGCATTGCTCCTATCGCCGCAATCATTTGGATTGCTCCTTAACCAGTCGCCACAAATCCCTGCAGGGTCAACAACCTGATGGGCGGCGTCTCCTTCCTGTCGGGCGTCGCCCTCTGGCTCACGTCCCTGGACGGGGCGCGGCGCGGCGGCTACGCGCTGTTCTATGGAATGCACCACGTCGGGTTTTGGGGGTTCATGGTGGCCGGCCTGATGCACTACCAGTCCATGTTTTGGTGGGTAGAGACGGCTGTGACGTAATGCATGGGTTGGAGGGGCGAAGGAAGTGAGGAAGCTGGGGCTTCGGGTCGCAGCCCTGGTGTCAGTGACGTTGAGCGTGGCCTTTTTCTGCTGCTTAACGCAAGGTCTGCGCTTGCGGCCCCAAGCGGCCACCAGGCAGCCCCATGCTGCTGCAACCTTTGGCCCGCGCGTCGCAAGCTTATAGACTTAGCAGTGCCCCCCACACTAGTGTGCCCAGACAAACCTCAGACACATGGCGCGCCCCTGATTATCTGTATGTGCGCTGCATGTGTCTGCTCCCCGCAGGTACTTTGTCCCAGGGCTGCTGTTTTACGCAATCGACGGCGCCTACCGCGCCACTCAGGCGCTCGGCCGCCCCGCAGTTGTGATCAGCGCCCGCGCGCCCCTTGGTGACAAGGTGCGCGGCGCTTTGGGGCTGCGCGCCCCGCCCCGCCCCGGCCCTCCAGCGGCCGCCCCTGCTCAGCCGGGCATTTGGACCGCTGCGCTGCCGCGCAGCTGTGCGGCCGGGCTGCTGCTTGTGTGTCACCGCGTTGGCCTCACCACCTTATCATGCTGGCTTTCGCCCTGGCCCCTCAACCCTCAGCATCGCCACCCTCATGGCGCAGTCCATCAGGTCTCCTTTGACTGTGCTGCGGTACACTCCCCTCCACACACACACGCACATTCACACTCACTCTCACACACACTCACATCCCCATTCACACGCACACACACTCGCATTCACATTCACACACACTCACATTCGCACTCCTACACGGTTTCCTTCCCCCTCCAGGCCTCAGTCGTTGCTCTTGAGCTGGCCGCCCCGCCCTACGCCGTTGCAGCCACCGGCTTCGTGTGGCTGCAAGTCCCAGAAATCAGCGCACTCCAGTGGCACCCCTTTGAGTACGTTGCAGTATCCCAACCCCACCCCTCCGGCCCGGAGCCAGCCAGCCCCTCGGGCAGCGCCGCCGCGCCGGCGGCGGCGATGCTGGTACATGCGAAGGCGTATGACAGGTGGACTCGGCGGCTGGTGGAAGTCGTGGGGGCGCGGGGCGCGGCGCTGAGGGTGAGGGTGGAGGGGCCGTACCCGGAGACGCCTGTTTGGACGCAGCGCGCAGCGGACGACGCGATCGTGGTTGTTGCAGGTGGGGCGCGCTGTTTGTGCGGGGAATTGGGGGGGAAGGGGAGGCGGGCGAGCGGGTGGGGCTTGCACAGGCATGTTTGTAAGTGTTTTATATGTGAGTGCCGCTTTAATATGTGTATGCGTGCAAGCACGCCTAAGCGTGATTGTTCGGTGCGTGTGCGTGCGTGATTGCAATTCTTGCAGGCGTGGCTGAGGAGTTGGACCGCCAAAGTTGCTGTGATGCGTGGCCCTGCTGTGATGGGGCCTCGCTTCCCTCCCTCTGGTTACACCCTTTTTGTCATCCGGCGCCGGCTGCGCTCCCTCACACCTGCTTGATGCACATCAGGGCTGCTCTTGTGAAGCAACACCGCAGCCGCATGTCTTTCCGTGAAATCCAAGCTTGCCCTTTCCATACACATGCAAAAGCACGCGCGCGCACATGCGCACACGCGCACGTACACACGCGCGCACACACACACCTTCACACCTTCACACGTTCACATGTTCAGTCACACGCGCACACTCACGCTCACTCCGCAGGCGGCATTGGCATCGCCGCGGCGCTGTCCTTGTTTGAGGAGCTGCCCCCCTCCCCCCTGCTGCCCGTCCTCCTGGTCTGGACGGCGCGCCACCCGGCGGAGCTGCTGCTGCTGGCGCCGCTCGTCATCGCCGCGGCCAGGGACAAGGGGGTGGCGCTGACCGCGCACCTCCACTACACCGGTGGGCATGGGAGCGTGTGCACGCGCGGTCGAGCCGGGCAGCTGGGTTCTGCCTGGTGGTGCCTCGCGTTGCGGGCATGTTGCGGGTCCGCAAGGTGTGTCGGTCAAGACGAGGCATGAGCGGCCGCGTTGTGGCAGCTCGATCGCACAAAAAGGCAACGACAAGGGTCGTGCGGCTGGTGGGTGAAAAGGGCGAAAGTGCAGCCAGCGGGCTGCTGCTCCACTCACGGGGCCGACAGCCCACACACCTTTTCATCCAACCCATGCTTCCTCGCGACAAGGCTCGAACCAAACCCAAACAATTCTCCTTCCGCATCTCGACCGAACTAACCGGCCCCAGGCAACCCAGCCGACCTCGTTGAGGCGTCCGAGGCAGATCACGGCGGCGCCGCCGCCCCCAAGGCCGCCCCTGGGCAAGGGGCCTCCAGCCTTCCCGCAGGAGCAGCGGAAGCGGCCGCTGCTTCAGCCACCGCCGACGCGCCGCCGGCGCTTGGGCACGGAAAGGGCGATGCGGCGGCGGCTGCGCACCCCCGCGTGTCGCCGCTGTGCCCTGTGGTGGATCTGGGCGGGAGCCTGGGAGCGCAGGCGGCGCACAAGCTTGCCGCGCATGTCCTCGGCTGTGCAGGTGTGCGTTCACTGTGTGCGTGCGGTTGTGTGTGCGTGCACGCATGTGTATGCGAGCGAGCGCGCATGCGTGCACGCGCGCGCCTGCATGCGTGTGCGTGCCCGCGCTTGCCACTCCGTGCCACGACTGCCGCCTTCCCCAGCTGCAAGCATGCACCGCCGATGCCCTCCGCCGTCTGTGCCCGCTGCTTGTGCCCCAACCTGGCAAACCGATTTTGTTTGCGGCATGCACTCCCCCCATTCTCCCTCATCCTCCCTGTAGCCGGCCTTCCCCTCGCCCCTGCAAGCAACCTGTGGCAAATTCCACCCCAGTTCTCCGAAGCCACCCGTTCCCTCCCCCTTGCGTACCCATCCGTGCTCCCCCCCCCAATATCAACCCCTCACCAAGGCGCCCTGGCGGCGATCCTGCTGGTGCGCGCCTACTCCACAGTCTGGGCCCCCCAGCCGTGGACCACCGCCGCAGCCGGCGCCGCCTACGCCGCCGCCGTCGCCGCGGGCGCGACGCTGCCGGGCGTGGCGCTGATACTGCTCTCCGGCGCCGGCCCCAGGCGCGGCCCTCCCTCGTCCACGCCCCTCGCGGCCCGCTCTGCCCGCCGCGGCCGCGGTCCCACAGCGGAGGAGGCCGCGGCGCCGCTGCTTCCGGCAGGAGTCGAAGAGGCGGGCGCGGAC